TTTTTTATTTCAATACGCTAACTTAGATAGCAAACTTATCAACATTTTATAATTTTCATTAAAAAAAAATGTTCTCAAAATGTCCTAAAAGCACTTATTTCCAGAAAGCTATTTAAAAGCAGACAATCTCGGAAACAAAGGCCATTGGGACTTAATAACTGGTCTAATTTTAAAATCAAATCAATATATTTGTCCTTATATGAATAATTTTTAAACATAAAATTTCACTATTTATAAATCACCTCCATATGAACGATCAAAATCCGAATGAATATTGACAGCTTCACAGTCAGAAGACTGGAAGCCATTCAATTATCAATAACTTTTCTGCATCAATAGGTTTTGTACCATTTGATACAGGTTTCCGTAATTTAACTTTTTTGTTTCGTGGTTTTTCTTGTTTTACAAGTTTTGAAACAGACTTAAACACACTTACTTGTAATAAAATTAAAAAAATAAACTGATTGCGCTGAAATCAATTGCATTTGTTACAGAAAATGCAGCAGAACATCCAGAATCAAATTCATCTATGATTAATAATGTGATTAAATGAAAATCCTAAGGGATTAATAATGTGATTAAATGAAAATCCTAAGGGTTCGTACCTGTCATTCTTCAAATTTAGTGATGAAATAAGTTTAGAAATTATGCAAATTTCTATTTCAAGACAAGTAAATTTTGTTGTCTCTTCACAGCATGTACATTTCATTGATGAAGAAAGAAATTACAATGAGATAAAAATAATTTATCAGAAAAAAAAGGGCATATTTCTTTTCCAGTTGATTGCCGCATTACGCATAGATGATGGTAGAAATAAATCAAAAATTTTGGATGCAATCAATGGATGTTTTCCGTACGGAATCCATGTGGGAAACACGATCCGGTGCACACGGGATTTGGCGACTTTATGATGAGCAGTAAAAAGGCAACATATATGATAAATAGTAAACGGGTCATTCAAAGAATATATGGTACAACTCTGCTATACGCTCTAATTTCACCAAATGTGGCGATATGTGTTCTGCACTGGTTTTTGGTGCGATTGCGTGTTGTATGGCAACGCTGTTGACGTTGAAAAATCTTTCGCTGGAGTTCGTTGGTTCCCGTCATGCTTTGTGTCTGAGAAGCTAGGGGGGGAAGATTTAATGGTGAAAGTTGTTGAATTGAAGTTCGGCATACGGAAATATCGTTGAGGGGCAATTGGTATTTGGAGGTGTGGAAAGAAGGTATGGGAGATTATTTTTAGTGGCTGTGCGTGATTAAAGATTTGTGATTATTTGTTATTTTATTTATTTGTGAACCATAGTATGAATTTTCAGGATAGTGTGTCTGACTGTCATATAAATACGATAGTGATTACGTGGTGGTATGTTAAAGGTGGCATGAAATTGGTATTTCTGCTTTTCGAAAAAGCATTCATTCATGGTAAGTGCATTTTATTTTATTCTTGTTCTTATTGTGTAGAATGTTATGTTCCTTGTTTTTTAGTATGAATTTCTGTTCGTTATTGTTGTTTTTTAATTGTTTAAAATTTATTTTAATTTATTTTGTTGATTATTGCTTAGTGCCTAAGATTGTGCAATTCGTAGATGTTTTTTGAAGTTGAAACAGAAAGCTGTGTACATGGTATTCTTTGAAATTTATTGTTGTTACGTTAATTTATTAAAGCGAGGTATACGTAGTTCATAGATTCTGTTCGCTGCCTAGATTGGTGCCAAGTCGTAGATGTTTAAGTTAAAACATATCGCTGTGTACATGGACTCTCTTGTCAAATAATTTTTGGTTTAGAAACTTCACGGTTTTGCTATCTAAATTTTTTGTTTTTGTTTCGGATTTTTAGCTTTAATTGTGTGTTCAAAACGTGGTTTTTGCATTCACGAAAATGTGTTTTTGGAGACTTTTTAGGCTTGAAGTTCGAAATGTAGACACAAACTTTAGATAGCAATATGGAAATTTGGCTCCTTGAGGGCGCATATCAGAGTAGTTCCGAATATATATAGTTATACATAGTATATAGTATATATATAGATGTTCTTTGGGTCATTTTTGGTGATAGTGTATATACTACTAGGATTTTACCCAAAGTTTGATATACAGTGTCTCACAAAAGTGATGGGACACTTGTTCTTTACAAAAGGAAACTATAATAAAATAAATTTAAAAAACATGTAAACATTTTTTAGGGTGTGTTTCATACTTAAATTTAGTAACAATTATTACATAACATACATTTTCTCAAAATATTAATTAAATAAAAATACAATTGTTTAGAACGGAGCAAAAAATGGTTCACGTAAGTGATGGGACACCTTTAGATACTACTACGTACTACAATAAAAATATTTTTGGGGTTTTTTATTTTTACTTAAAAGCAATTGGCAATAATTTATAAAATCGTCTGCAGTATTTCTCTCTATTTTGTTTTGGAATTTTTGTGTTTTTTAGCTCTGTGCAGCCATGAATGCTAAATGAAAAGAAACTCTGCCTGAAATTCGAAAATTAGTTATTAATTTGCATATTGAATGCGGAAAATCTATAAGAAAAACTGCTGATACAGTTAACTTGAGTCATTCAACAGTTTTCAAGATCATTAAACGATATAAAAAGAATCATATGATTCAGGATAAAAGAAGACCTGGTCGACCATCAAAAGCTATCCAATGGAATAAAGCGAATTATCGTTCGAAATATTAAAAAAACTCCAAGAATGAGTGCTCCTAAACTTGCTGCTGATTTACAAGCATTATACAGTCAAAAGTCTTTAATCCGGACTCGTCGGGACTTCGCCGATTCCGGATTATCGATTTTTCCAGATTATAGATCATCAGTTTAAATCTGGTAAGATGACATGCAGAAGTTATAAAATTAAAAATATGAAACCATAATTTATGAAATAAAGAACAATTATGATCTAAAGGGTATCAATATATACAAAAAAAAAAAAAAAAAAAAAAAGCTTAATATTTATTTGTTTACTTTATTAAACATTTCTTTCAATGTAAGTTGTTTAAGTTGCTTCGTTTTATGTGATAATACTTTCTCTTTAATTCTATAAACAGACATAACTTCTTATTCAGTTACAAAGTTCCGCTGTTCAAGTCCCGCAATTGCTGTGTCGAGAATACCGACTAATTTGTCAATCGAAATTTTTTCGTTTTCAATAACCTCTGTGTCACTTTCTTCACTATCGGAAGCGAATTATAATGAGGAGGAATTTGATTTAAATCATATCAAAGACGAAGTACATCGAGATAAAATACTACATTTAGTAAGGAATTATAAGACAAATAAAATAAAAACATCTGCCCTGAAGATAAGGATAGTGTTGACAGATCAACTTCCAATTCATTGCGCGCCGTGTCGTTTCCCTTCCCCTGCAGAGCAGCGTGAAATAGATAAACATATTTCGGAATGATTAGATAATCAAAGGATATGCCTTTATCCATTTTTTGCAGCAATTCCACTTTTGGTTTAATGGACTTCGAAACATACTTTCACTTTGTAGATCCTTTACATATTAGTAAATATATATCGGAAATTCTATTTGACATAATCGAAAGTTCAGGCTTACTTTTATAAAATTGCTGTAACAGTCTGCAAAAAATAATAAGCCGGATCCAATTCGAAGATTAAGGAACAACGCAATCTGCAACATTACCTAAATTAGATAATTTCAGCTTAGCTTATACCGTCCGTTCTACATTAAACGCGCTTGCGTAAACGTATTATGCGTATGCGCACAGGCATATTCGCAACCGTAAAGGTCTTACGCGCATGCGTCAAAGCGATGCATGCGCAGAAAGTTTGTAGATTTGAGGTCCGGATTATGGGTGTCCGAATTAACGACTTTTGACTGTATAAAGTAATTGTTAATCCTGAGACTATTAGAAGAGTAATTCGATCTGCTGGATATCACGGTGGAGCAGCCGGGAAAAAATTCTTCGTAAGTGAAAAGAATAGAACAACTCAGACTGGCTTTCGCAAAATCCAACATAAATAAGGAATTCTGATTACTGGAATGAAGTTATATTTGCTGATGAGAGTAAATTTAATATATTTGGTTCTGACGGTAGAATCTTGGTGTGGAAAAACCCAGGGAAGAATTTCGTAAACAGAACTTGTTGCCAACAGTGGTAGGAATGGTGGGTGTATGGTGGGAGAGGCGTTATGGTATGTGGTGTATGTCGTCCGCTGGAGTTGGTCCCTGTTTTTATTGACAGTATAATAGATCGGTACAAGTATATTGACATTTTAAATCAAAATTTGAAATCTTCAGCACGAAAATTGAACCTTTAACGGTTTTAAATTCTACCAGGGACAATGACCCCAAGCACATTGCTTTGAACTTAGACTCTGGCTTTTGTATAACTATCCTGAAATATAAAAACAACCACCACAATCTCCAGACTTAAATCCCATAGAGAATATTTTGGCAAGAATTGGAATCAAGAATTCGCAAACAACACCATTTTCTTCAAAACAACAATTAAAATCGGTGCTTCAAGAAGAATGGGGTAAAATCACTCCAGAAATCACTAAAAAATTAGTCGAATCCATTCCAAGAAGATTAAATCATGTTTTAAAAGTAAAAGGAAATCCAACAAAATATTAAAACCTTTTTAAAAAGCAAAATTTTTGGATAAATATTTGATGAAAAGTAAGTGTCCCATCACTTATGTGGGCCATTTTTTGCTCCGTTTTAAACAATTATATTTTTATTAAATTAATATTTTAATAAAATGTATGTTATGTAATAATTGTTACTAAATTTAAGTATGAAACACACCCACAAAAAATTTTTACATGTTTTCTTAATTTATTTTACTACAGTTTCATTTTGTAAAGCACAAGTGTCCCATCACTTTTGTGAGACACTGTACAAACGATAAGCCACACAATCACTGTACATTGCAATCAGTACGTTATTCCATTATTATAATTATTTTTCATGTTTGACAAATTCTTATTTCTTTAATCTAGTGTTGCAAATGGTTTTAAGAAAAAACTACAGATTTTCTTACCTTCGAAGTTGGAAAATGTAAGTTCATCACATTCAAGTACAATATCGTGCATATCCCCAATATGCTCTCTTAATTGTTGATAGGTTAATGAATTTCTGCCGTAAGATGAACCAATTAAACTACTTCCTACTGATTCAGGACGTACATCATGCACATTACATAAATGGCGAAATAAATTAGAACGAAATTAAAAATATCTTCTCGCAAAAAGTGCAAATTTCTTTTTTAAGAATAATCTATCCAGAATGAAATAACTTTGTACACAATGCTAGAATATTATGGTAGAGCAACAGCTGGCATAAAATCCTGCCGAAAAACTAAAATGGTAGTGTTAATACAAAAGAATGTCTATTCTTTGGTTAAAATTTTCGCTACACAAATTCGCCAAGACGTTTTCGCCAATTCGTACGACAACCCGAGAGGATTTCGGTTAGAATTGAGCAAAGAGGTTAGAATAGAAGAAGGGTAGGTTCAAGTCAACCGGAGAAGCTTGGCAGCCATGTTACTATTATCGCTGTGACTTGAGCAAGGAAGTCTGTAATTGCAACATTTTTTTTTTCCTTTTATTTTTGAAGCATGTCAGCTTGTGTTGCATATGGATGCACAAATAGGTTTTCGAAAAAAGTTCCTGGGATTACTTTTCACGCGTACGTGTAGATTTTCTTTTTTTATGTGATTTGATAAATATGTAAACTATCACAATGCCTTGTTTTCTTTCCAAATGTGAAAGAAAGGACTGTTATATATATCAAAATATGTTAAATACATTTTACTGTTTCTGTTTATAGCTGGTATTTTCGTTCCTTAACATACGATGATATATGCTAGGATTTAAACTGTAAAATTTGAACGTTTTAGGTAATTCGTTTTATAGTTTTCATGAAAAGTAATAAATCAGTTGTTACTATTTTTATGAATTGTGATGGTGTTAAATAAAGTAATGCTTTTTTTATGTTCTAATTATTATTTATTTTTTTAAGTTTTGTGAACTGTTATGAATATAATTTGTGCATTTGATCAAGATAAACTGGTCTGTTGTTAAAAATCGTTTGCATAAATGGGGATACTCAGATAACTGGCACTTGGCGAACTTCCTGCAACTGCTACAGCCAGTAAAAAAATATGTGAATTTCTGTTTTAGTGTATTACAACTTAAAGCTGAAGTATTAAGAATACTAAAATAAAATAACTTTTTTTCCTATCTCTCTTTCCTAACATTTGTATGGAAGCACTTCCGCAGAGAACCCGGTAAATGTAAACATCGCCAACTTTGGCGATAATAGTTCAAACCTGGTCACCTATTCGCTTGTTCGAAGTTTGCAACCATTCCTCATGCGTTCATTTTATTGAATTATCACTGTCGTTGGTCGCATTTGCAGATTTATATTATTCTTTTTTCCTTTATTAATATTTTTTCTGAATTTTCTAACAACGAATAGATAGAAATAGTATTTTCGTAGATATATGCCGGTTCTCGGTTCGCGATGAAAGGAAGAAAATACGGCGGGAGGGGTGAATGCTAATTTGTAACACGGCTGTTCACGTTGTGTTCTTAATTAGTAACAGCTCTAAGAACCATGAGGTTTCCAACCTCTAAATAATTTGTTTTCGTAAGCCGCAAAAATTTGCATGTGCATTTTAAATAATTAAGAAATGCTTTTATTTTTATTATTGGTTATTGTCATCTAAAGTTATGAGAATAAATCAATTTTTATGGTGTAAAATTTTAACAAGATAATATATTGTTAATGCTTTTCTAACAATAACCTTTCAGAGGATGACAGTTGTAACATAAATAGATGATTAAATTGAAATAAAAAATATTATTGATTATCTAAGATGACAGAACAGTTCGATGCATCACCATGATCATCAAAATTAGCAAACCACTGCTGGTGTAAGGGATATATTGTTTTCTGTGTTAACTGGAATTTAAGACAAATTTTTTCCGTATATCATGCTTAACCGGTTAATTTCAGTATATTAATACTAATTTATATTTTTAAAATGAATTTTTATTTCCGTTATAAATCGTTATATATTGTCTTATGCTTAATATATTCTTTTCTGTGCTAACTTGAATTTAATAAAAATTTATTTTCGTTTAAACGGTTAGTTTTACATCTACATGCTTATTATCTGTGAATTTTTACTACCATATGCTTAATATATTGTTTTGTGTGCTAATTTGAATTTACATGCTCTAAAAATCACGTTTGCAAAATATCACGTTTACGGCTCAGCTCATCGTCGATGAACGGCGAGCTTGGCGAGTAAAAATGCAACGGCGCCAACGGGTTCTTTCCCGAAGCGCCAACGGGTTCTCTGCGGATGAAAACCCAATGATTGGATGATTTTTTAATTTATGATAATATTGTGAATAAATCAGAAATCACTTCTTAAAGAAAAAATTGGAAACACCATCCAACAGGTTGCTAATAAAACCTTGAAATGTGCAGAAATATCCATTTTAAATGCTTTACTGTAATACACATGCATTTAGATTTCAATTCTAAAAGTGTTGAATAAAGTAATTTAGATTTCAAACTACTTCTTAATAATTTTCTGTACATAGAAAGTTATGGATACCATCTTTATTACTTTTAAACAAAAATTTAACAACAGCAAGGCATTTCATTATAAAATTAACATATTTTTACTGGAAAAAAATAAGCACTGAACAGCTTAGAAACACTTATGTTTCTTTGCCATAATACATTTGGCCTCCTTTTCCTACCTTGCCTTCAATGTTTACTTCAAAGAGAAAACATCTTAACTGCTGATTCCGTGAATTCATTAGTGTTGGAATTGCATTATTATCTGCATAATGTCCCTCTTTTCTCAAAATCCTAAAATAACATTCATGTGCACACTTGTAAGCATTTTCTCGATGCGCATATTGTTCCCCTTATCGCTTGGTCAATTCTGTATACCACTGTTCGAAATCCTGGGATAAATCTTCAAATGAATGATTTCGAAAGATAAGAGCATCGCACATGTATCTTTCAGGTTTTTTCTTAAAGAACAGGGAACACGTTATATGGGAAATGGTTAAAATTTACTATACGATACTCCTTGGCAAATCATCTCTTTTTTGACGCCAAGATCGGCACTAATTTCAAGTGGTGCCGATCCTTCTGCTCGCTACACAAAAGCAAAACAAGAAGTCAGACTTCTTGTTCAAACTCTGTGTCCATGTACACATTAACCTATTCTTATTTGGAAAACAAATCGGAGAATTGCACAAATTAGGCACTGCGCATTGGCTTAACTTTGTCCATGTTACACATCAATCTATTTTTACTTAAACAAAATTAGGAAGCTAAAACAAAATTAAAACTATCATGTTAACCAGAAAAAATTCACCACTGTCTTAGCACACAGAGACGAAGAAATAACCAAAAATACATATTTCCTAACACAAAAACATTAAACAACAAATCTTTTAACAAAAATTAACACACAGAGATGAATAAATAAATGAAATGTCAATTTTTTAACTTGCCATTTTTTCACGTGCATACGTTCACAATCTCCACCACGTAAGCAATTCAATTAAATTTTTGGTCACTTCGGCTCATCCGCTGTTAATGGCAGATAAATACAAATAACAGTGTCCAAAGAAGCCATAAATAGAATTTTTTTCCCTGGGCCTTTTTGTGCCACACGTATTTAGTCATATAATAGTCCAAGCCGTTCTTCGTTTTCCTCTTGGCTAAACGGCATTTAACCGCACTCCACATTCGTTCTATTTTATTAATGTCTTTAAATTGCAGACTATGATTTACTGTTAGGTGTCCAAAGCCTTCATCTGAGAGGCAATTGTACACCTTCCAGCAGTCAGAAATTTTAGTTGTAATGTCAGATATATTCATATTATTGTACCCACATCAAAATACCAATGCATGTGTAACCAAACACAGCAATTGAAAAGAATGCTAAGAATAAGAAAACCCTGGTCCATATGAAAGGGTTACTGTTACAAAATATAGCCAAATTCTCAATTTATCATAACACATTTGGCAATATTTGCACAATTTTTCTCCAGGGCTGGTTTCATCAACATTAGGGTTACCAAAAAACTTATTTCACGCAGTTCTGTTCTTTAAGAAAACACTAAAGATCAACTTGGCAAATATACCTAAAAACTAAAAAGTGTAGTTTAAAATTATAGGTGTGTGTTATATACTGGTATGCACTATACACTGAAATATATGGTAAGTATATTTACGTAATTCAGCTTAATTCAAGGTAATTTCTTTAATCGAGATTCGTAAAATGAAGTAATTAAATTTACATAAATGTATTTTATTTTGTTTTAATATCAATTTTCTTATTGTTACAAGTTTGTTGGTTATGAAAAGAATTCATTTAAAAAATTACGACTTTCAACTGTTTTTTTTTTTTTTTTTTTAAATTTTAGGTTTCCTCAAAATGCAGAACGGAGAGCAGCATGGGTAAGAGCTGTTCGAAGAGCAAACTGGAAGCCGACTAAATTTTCACGAATTTGTTCTGAACATTTTTCTGAAGATCAAATAGACAGAACTTCATTATGCTGTGTAAGACTGAGAGATTATGCTGTGCCTAATATCTTCAAAGCTTTTCCACCTTACCTGCAAAAGGTACATTATTCTGTTTTTATACATAAAATAAGGAATTAGATATGAATTTGCTTACATGTTTAGCTCTGAAATGATGTTTGTCAAAAATCAAATACTTGTAGGAGCCTGATTTAAGTAAAAACAAATAAAATAATATTGGCCTAATGAATCTTAACATGCAGTGATATTAGCCCATGGTTATATCATTGGGTTAATCTTTGGATTATGGTAACTTGGCGATTTTTTGGAGAAAATTTGTCGACCAACCCTGCTACAGCAACCTGCTAGTTTTTGTTTGGACGCCATTTTGTTTTCGCGAAGTAAAGGCATTTTTTTTTTTAAAGTCAACATTTTTTTACAACAATCTGCTAGCTGAATTACGCTTATGCTAGAACTTTTATGGAACAAAAATGCTTAATTATGACAAAGATTAGGTGCGAAATTGGGAGAAAGTGCAGAATCGCAAACTACTTGCCGCGTTTTTAAGAACTGCACATACACGGTCATAAACACGTCGACCTATTTTCACTTAAAAAAACATCCCAGAATTGCACAAAAATGGCACTGCGCACACTCTTGACTTTATCCATGTACTCTGCTAAAGTCCTAGCTAGTAACCTTTATCGCCTTACCAAAATGTCGCCAAACTACCTGTTACCATATTCCAAAGATTAGCCTATCTTTCATTTACTCTTAGTCAGGGGCGTAGCTAGAGGGGGGCAAAGGGGAGCATCTGTCCCCGGGCGCAGAATCCAAACTGATGTTACAACATTTTAGAATTAAATGTTTTCCATCCTTGGCAAGCAGTAGAGGGCACGAAATCTTCAGTTGTTCCTGGGCACTGAAAACCCTAGCTACGACTTTGCTCTTAGTGGAAGGGTAATGTTGCATTAATTTAAAAAATATGCAAGTGAGTTAAGAAAGCATTATTCAAAATAAATTGACATAAAATCATTGTTGGAAAATGTAATGTCTTATTTCTAGTTAGAGTTGATTTTCATGAAAATGATAAACATAGTATCAGTTAACATGTTGACTGTAGACTTATAAAAAGTTTATTAAAAATAAATCTACATTTGTAACATCAATCATGTTTTAATGAATATCTTTTTCTTCCAGTTGATAAAAAATCCACAAAAACCTCCCACAGAAAGTTTTATTGAGTATAAAAATAAAGAGGTAAGTTAATTTTGAATTAATGATACTAGCTGTTCTTTACGTAATGAATTTAAAAGTGAAATACTTTATATTCAAAGACAAGGTGTTGGTGTATTTAATTATGGCAAAGCACACTAGGGCTATCTGCCTAAGGGGAGGGATGCCTTTCGTGGAGGACTTTCTAAGGGAAACTGGCTCGTATACACGTTACACATGGGGAAAACCACGAAAACGCCCATGCAGCCAGCCCATTCGTGGGATTCGAACCTCGGACCAAACTACCAGTGTTCAGCGACTTTACCGCTCGGCCGCTGGTGGGCCCATATATATTCAAAGACAATAAAGCAACTTTTTACATGAGAATGGATTTCTAATACTTAGGAAAACAAAAATATTTATACTTATCGTAATAGGAAGAAATGTTTGGAATTAGCAGTTCTTTATGAAGTGAATTTAGAATTGAAATTTGTTAAATTCAAAGACAATAAAGCAACTTTTTGCATAAAAATTGATTTATAATACTCAGTAAGGAAAACAAAAAGATTTATACTTATGGTAATAAGAAATATTTGGAATTCACAGTTACCTCTGCCCCATCAATCGGAAACATTTTCTTGACCTACTACTGTCTGTCTATGGTAAGAACAGCTCTCGCCAGTTTGTCTGGAGCTGTCTGTTGCCGTAGAAACGAGCCCTAACCCATTTTTCGTGCGGTTTGAGGTACAAGTCGCTGAATTTGTCATCCCTCTAGATGTACAATGAGTAAACCTATATCAAAATAACTTGTAGGGAAATAAATTTTAAAATCCGTGCTTATTTTTGAAGAAAAATTTTAATTTTTACATTTAAAAAAATCATGCTATTATTTTGCTTCTTTTTTGTTTATTTGTTTGCTTGCAAAATCATAGATGACATCTTAGAAATCTACTTGATTGCCCCATTCTCTGTAATATAGTATAGACGCACTTCATAAATGTAAAATAAATTAAATTTTTATAGTTCTCCCCTCTAGCTGATCTACCGTGAACATTCAAAGCAATTTCTTCAGTCTTTAAATGACGTTCTGCTATGTTTTTATTTCAAAATTTTCTGTTAATTTATTGCTTGTGCTTTAATAATGACTAAAAATTTCATCATTAAATGTATATGGAATCATCTTGAAAGTAAAAGCGTTTTTTTACATACCCATGCTCTCAATAAATACTTTTTGCGAACATTTCTTCTTTTCCCATACCTTTAAACTAAACCAAAAGCTGGTTAATTTAATGGCGGAAGGAAGCGAAGGTGAATTAAAATCAAAACTGCTTTTTCCTTAATTACCAGTGGTTTGGGTTGGTTTATATGATTACGGAAAGCCTCCAGGGTTAAATGCCTAAGAGGAGGGATGCCTTCATGGAGGGCTTGCTAAGGGAAACTGGCTGTGCGCCCAAAACCGTATCATGTTGCCAACATTTCTTAAAAGTTAAATTGCTGTCAATCCATGTTTCATCGATGTAAACGATGTGGCGTTCACTTGCTCTGAGTTTTCTCATTTCGCGTAAATAATTGTTCCTCCAAAATACAATGTGAGGTCTTTCGATAAGATTTTTTTTTTTTTTTTTTTAACACATTTCTTCCAGCGAAAATTCATTGAACGCAAAACTTTGCACAAAGAGTCCTTTTGCCACGGAAAGTCTATTTTTGCCTCAAGACAGGCAGTAATTTCCGCACAGATGGGCTTTGACTTTCTTTTCTTTGATGTAAAAGTCTTGTATTGTCTGCCGTATAACGCATTTGTCAAAATCGTCAATTTCACACTTATGATTAGCAGGGCTTTTATGTTTTTTTTCCAAGTGTATTCAGAAGTTTATTTTCACCCATTGTTGATACTTTGTGCTTAATTTTTTTAATTGTATACTCTGATATTCCAGTAGGACAAACTTAAGGAAGAGGAACTACTAAAGAGTTCGCCGAAGCTTCAGAAGCGCAAAATTCTGCGACATTATACACGATTTGACGTGACTGAGACTTTAAAGGTTGACCTTTCTTAAAACTGGAAGGGCATTTTAAAAATTGGCGATTAACAAAGCACTACGAAAATCAAAGCTAAATAGAAGCGAATTTTGAACATGCTACCAGTACAAAAGATATAACAACGAGAATAAAAATAGCTAATAGTAATAATATAAGGCTTAAGAAAAAATGCGTGCAGCTGGAAGGAAACCGAGAAGACGAATGATAAACACTTTTCCCTTAAGCCAACAGTCGCTAAAAACAAAATAACAATAAAGCAACCCTTGGTTCGTCCCTATTTGAAATATAACTAGCCCTGTTGCTATAGCGACCGCCACCCGCCAGACACCATGGCAGGAGCTATTCTTACCTTAGACAGGCAGTACTTATAATGCTTTATACAAGAATTAGACTTGAAATAAAGTTAATAGCTTAATACAAGTAACTTCTGGAAAAATTGGTCATGGGTATTTTAGAGGAGGAAAATTTTATAATACTAGTGTACACATCCATCCTTCCATACATACTTTTCTGAATCTGATTCAGGTAACATATGTGTACCATAAGGAAATAAAAGAATTATAATAACACACTTCTTACTGAAGAAAAACTAAAAATGTTATGTGAATTTTATTATTATTTTAACAATTTAAACAGTGCCATTCATAAAAAAAGCTGCATATTTTTCTCCCTTCATGCTTTTATCTACAGTTTTGTAGGGTAATGTTTGAATTATTTTTACCTATTGTTACGAAATGTACAGGTGCGGTAAGATAGCTTCCCCGCAAAGCAGTTTTAGGGTTGCCAGAAAATGGCGAGGAAAGGCAGGGTTGCCCTTATTTGGACGATAAAAATGGCAATATACCGTGGACGGTTGAAGAACCTTCTGGAACGAATTCTTACCGGTTTAACCCAGAATGTTTCCGAACACAAGCCGAAAGCTACATAAACCCTGCTGGTCCGCAGTCAGTTAGTGTGTGTGTGTGCTTCGTCTAGTGTGCGAGTTAGTATCGAATGTGTCTCATGTAGCGAGTCAATCCCTTCGGAGTTGATCGAGTTGACAGCCGGGCAGCGAATGCCGAGTGGGTCGTCGAGTGCACCATAGGAGTCTGTTAGTGTAGCGCAGTTAGTGCATCGTCGAGAGAGCGTGTTGAGCTCCGGGAACGACTGAACTGAAGAGTCGGGAGCTGTGCTCTTGTGCCGTCAAGTGCATCGCGAGTTGTAGCGTGGAGAGTCTCGAGAGTACGTGGAGTTCCGAGAACGGCCAAGCAGAGTCGGGAGCTGTACTCCGGAAAGCAAAGCTGGGTGCTTTGCAGGAAGCTGTCTCCACCGTTATTGCCTGACAGTGTGAAGGCTGTATCAATGATTGTTCCAGCATATTTATAGTAGATCTTCGACGACTGTAAAAGTGTTTTGGAGCTGTCCTGATTAATATTGATAAATAAAGTGTGTTTCGATACTTCATTCAATGTTGTCGTTATTCACTCCAAATCTACGAACCCTGTACGAACGTGAAGGAAGAAAATAACATAACAACTGGTGTCAGAAGAATAAAAAAACGTAACAATATCTAAGCAACTAGCCATGATAGTCAAGAATTCGGTAGATAACCATTGAACATTCTGTATGATTAAATATAAAGATAACCATATCTATAACATAAATATTAATTAATTTCTTCAGAATGTAAACTATCCATGAAAATAATCCTTAGGCTGAAAGCTTAAAGATCTTTGCTGTTGAGTAGTTGGTAGCAGGAGGAGTAAAATACAAGTGTCTCAGACTTCATCCCTCAAGATACACTAATCAGAATAAGTAGGTTGTTTAGAATACATAGCTCTCATTTGCTTTGCCTAAATAAAATATTATACCTCAGTATAAAAATGTAGTAGAATTTTGAAATTGTGTAGTTAGAAAAAGGGATACTTAAGTATTGTTGCGTGCGTACGGGTTCGTTATGAAATGAATGCACAAGTCCGATGAAAAAAAATGAACAAAAATTTATTATTATCACAACAAAAATGCTTAAATTTTCTCAAATTATCACGCAGTATTACAATATCTCACAGTAGTTTTCTTTTAACTACTCAAATGTCCAATAGAACGTAATTCAAAACAGCTAAAGAAACGCTAATCCGCGAATTCGCTACAATCAACAAGAGCAGTTTTCTAAACAACAACAAACTAAGCAACTACTACAAACTGAGATGTTTTCCTCCTTTTATAAGATTTTAAAATCACGCGCTAGAATTTTCCAGTACTTTCTCGAAATCAAAAAGAGATATTTATTTATTTAATGCACGCGCTCTTGTATTTTCAATTTTCCGGCTTAGCTTTCTTTTAATATTCGTCATGCGCTGCACTGCGCGAGAAATAAAACCATTTAATTTATAATTGAACTAACATTAGCTTTTTAAATACCATATTCGTAACACTGCCCCCTTCCCAAGGACTGCACGTCCCGGGCAGTACAATCCCTGGACAGGAAGCCAAACTTACCACTGTGGCGTAAATGCATTATTAAGCATTACATTACAATAATAAACAACATGAAAAATAAATGCAATAGATAACTTAAACAAATGCTATCAAATACAAATCAAATACTAAATGCAAATCAAATACTAAATACAAATCAAATCAAATACACATTTAAAAACAAAAAGGACCATGGTCTTACACTATTTACAATTATTTACATTATGTACTATGGCCATAGTAATGAGCTAACCTGTCGTAATGAACGACTTTAGGTTTAGAGTTCGAAGACTTACGAATCCGAACCACAACGTCATTTAGCCTGTTTAGGATTGTGTGCGAACCATCCCAAGGTGACTGTAAATCAGGCCTGACTCCTTTTCGTCGAATCGGGTTCCACAACCACACCTTGTCTCCTTCGTTGGATCTATGTCCAGCAGCTCTCGTGTTGTATCTGGTCTTCACTTTCTCCGTCGCCAAGTTCACTCGCTTTCGTGCGGAACGGTGCATCACTTCAAAACGGGCCTTGACATCTTGGATGTGTTCCTCAGGCGATGAAGGCGCATCCGTACGGCAATGAAACAGGCGGTCACAAGGCAGAAGAAGGTCTCGACCGAAGAGCATCTGAGAGGGAGAATAGCTGGTAGTCTGGTGTTTCTTTTCGACCTTAGCATGATTTCGGCTGTTTCTCGAGCTGGTTCTTTCGGACAAAGTGTCGGCATTTCCAGGTGAGGATCCCTTCTTAGGATGGATAGTCATGTCTTCAGATCCTGAAAGCAGTTTGTTGTTTTTCAAGTCTAAGGAAAAATTGTATTTCCTTAAAAAGTCCAATCCGAGTATGCATGGATCTGTAATATCCGCCACATATGCCGTGTGATAGTAGGCGGCACTTCCAAACGTGATGTTTACGTTTAACTTCCCAGTTATGTCGATCTTGTCACCAGACGCAGTCTGAAGGGTAACACAGGATGGCGTCCAAATAAGTTTATCTTTAAACTGTTCAGCTAAATCTTTCCTAATGATGGTAACATTAGCTCCTGTGTCAATGATCATACTGCAAGGAACTCCATCGATATTTCCATTGATGGACAGTCCGTTATTGTTGCCACTCACTGTATAAATTTTAAGAGCTTTAAAACAAGGTTTTTCACTATCTGGCAACCTCCGTTCCTCGATATGGTCACTAATTTGTTTACTGCGTTGTTGCTGGGAAATGGTCTTATTTTCCGTACTTCGGGGTGTTCTGCAGTTTCTTCGTATGTGGCCTTCAACTCCGCAGTTCCAGCACTTTAGAATTAGTTTCTTTTCACTTATGTTTCGTCTCAAGCCACTGACTTGTCTGGTAAAATCATCTGCTTTATATTCTTAACCTGGGGTGTTCTGCAATTCCGTCTTAGGTGACCTTCACTACCACATCTCCAACACCTTAGAGCCACTTTCTTCTCGCTCCTACTCCGTATCAAATCTTCGACTTGTCTGGCTAAATCATCTAAACGAGCCATCAGTTGATCCACTGGCTCATGGACTCGCACAGCTCTAACTGGGTAGCGATCTCTACTAGTTGCTTGCTGGGCTGCCTCGAACTTCATGGCGTACAACAGAGCGCTTTTTATGTCCTTTACATCTGCCATTCGAAGAGCTTTCTGTATTTCAGTATCTCGGATGCCGTCGATAAAGTATTGTAAGGACAGGATTTCCCTTGTTTCTTTTGGGCATTCCAAAAAGGCGAGATGGGACAGCCTTTCAACATCCGCGGCGAGCTCCTGAAGTGTTTCGGTAGGCTTCTGTTGACGAGATTTTAATTGGAGCCTGCTGTAGTCTTTTAAACATTTCTCGCCGAGCGCAGCTCCAAAGCGCCGGATAGAGCTTCGAAATCTAGCCTTTGATTTTCGGGAAGCGTCTGCAGGATATCCGCTGCGTCTGCTCTCAGAGAAGCGGCGAGATGACAGGCCTTAGCTTGGGAATCCCACCCATTCGCATCCGCAACGATAGAAAACTGGGTCTTGTACACTTGCCAGGATGTCTTCCCATCATATGTGGATAGCTTCAGAAATGGACGAGCAGGCATCGGTAAGAATTTAAAATCATCATTCTTGCTCCCTGCCGTCGCTACGAATTTCTTTAACGTTTCCATTTCTTTGGCAACTGCAGAAACTCTCTTATCAATTTGTTGTTCGACTTGGTGTTGGACGGCACAAACTCTTCCTTCAATTCGTTCCTCCAAGCCGAAACTCTCCCTTCTATATGTTCTTTTACAGAAGAAACTTTTTTCTATTTCTTCTTTCACCGAAGAAACTCTTTCTTCAATTTGATCTTTTACGAAAGAAACTTTTTCTTCAATTTGTCCAACTTTATTTTCAACTGTGTCAATTCTGCCTTCCATAGCTTCAAATTTATTTTCTATTATGCAGGTAATTTCTCTTTTCATTTCTTCTTGACATGCTTCAATCTTTTCTTGACCAGCTTGAACGGCTTTCATTTCGTCCTTAACGGATTCCTGGCCCAATTTCATTTCTTCCTTTAACGGATTTGCCATCCCCTTCCATCTTTTCTTGGAAAGCAGCAAAAGCAGTCATTGAGCTTGCCTGAATTGTTCTTCCATCGCTCTTGTTATTGGCATTCAAACCCCACCGCTGCCACCAAAAATTGTTGCGTGCGTACGGGTTCGTTATGAAAATGAATGCACAAGTCCGAATGAAAAAAAATGAACAAAATTTATTTATTTTATCACAACAAAAATGCTTAAATTTTCTCAAATTATCACGCAGTATTACAATATCTCACAGTAGTTTTCTTTTAACTACTGAAATGTCCAATAGAATGTAATTCAAAACAGCTAAAGAATGCTAATCCGCGAATTCGCTACAATCAACAGAAGCAGTTTTCTAAACAACAAACAAATCTAAGCAACTACTACAAACTGAGATGTTTTCCTCCTTTTATAAGATTTTAAAATCACGCGCTAGAATTTTCCAGTACTTTCTAGAAATCAAAAAGAGATATTTATTTATTTAATGCACGCGCTCTTGTATTTTCAATTTTCCGGCTTAGCTTTCTTTTAATATTCGTCACGCGCTGCACTGCGCGAGAAATAAAACCATTTAATTTATAATTGAACTAACATTAGCTTTTTAAATACCACATTCGTAACAGTATTATTCTGTCGACAGTAAGCAGAAATTTTGGTAAAGGTTGCAAATCGATACTACGGAATTCTAAAAACCTGGTCATCTATTTTTGGTGCTAAATCGCACTACTTGACCGGATAATATGCAAGATCTAAAATAGTTAATTATTATGTAGGAATAAATAATGAATAATGCACAGTCTATTAAAATGAAAGCAGTAATTGTTTTTTTATTTTTATGTAATTTTTTATTTGCCTTACATGTGATTTTTTTTTCTTTTGTTCCTTTTCAAGGAGCCTGTATTAAGTGAAATGCAAACTAATGCAACTTCTGCTGAACCTTCTCCATGCAAGCAAGAACTGAAACGAAAGCTGCACGAAGTTAAAGAATTAAATTGTGTCAACAGAAAGAAAATTAAGTTATTGCAACAAACTATACGTAGACAGAAAAAGACTATCTTCAATCTGAAAACTTTATTGAAAGATTTACAAAAAAGCAGGATAATAAATGATGATTATCTGGACAATTTTCAGAAATCGATTTCTGTTAATGAAGAAATCCTTTCGCTGGAATTAACAAATTGTCAAAAAAGACCAGTTATCAAATTATTATCGTAAAGAAATAAAAGCTTTAACTCTTCACTTTTATTCACCTAAAGCATTGTAAATATGTTAGAAAAACGTTCAAATCATGTTTGCCACACACCAAGACTAGCAAACTGCTACAAATCTATAAGTGCTGCACCAGGCTTTACAACTGAATCTTTGGATACGTTAGATAATAAACTTCATATAAATTGCTTTTTTCATTGATTAGTGATGAAATGGCCATGCATAAACATGGTGAATTTGATGGTCAACTTTATCACAGTTGCATTAATAGAGATATTCAGAATGATGATGCTTCTGTTTCATTAGCTAGAGAGACTAAGTTTATGTTATTGTACATCAATGGTAACTTTACAATCCCACTCGGTTACTTTTTAATTGATGGTTATGATGTTACTTTTTATTTGATGGTTTCAGTATTGATCTAGAATTGCTCTGAAAATAAATCAACTGCAGTATTTACAAAAGTGAGTGTTACATTATGACATTTTTAAACCACTGCATACTGATTTATTTAAATGCAATTCAAAACACTGTTCAAATAATAAGCAAGAATGTTTATAATATGCCTGAAAATATGCATGTGAAAAATACTGCAATGCATTTTCAAGACTCACTTTTCAAATTATGTCACAAACAAGCTTAATGGTGTTATTAAATTTTTCCTGCTTAGATTTACAACAGTCATAAATGTTACTAAAATTACTTAATAGTTATGCAATAAGATATAGAATTTATGGAACTACTCTGATATGTGCCCTCAAGTCGCCAAATTTCTCGCCAAAAATATTTGGCGAGAAACTTTACACTGCCATATTACTATCTAAATTTTTTGTCTACATTTCAAACTTTAAGCCTAAAATGTTTCCAAAAACATGGTTTTCGCACATGCAAAAACTACGTTTTGAACACACGATTTAAGCTAAAAATCCGAAACAAAAACAAAAAATTTAGATAGCAAAAACGTAAAGTTTCTAACCAAAAATATTTGACAAGAATCCATGTACACAGCGACATGTTTTAACTTAAAAAAACATCTACGAATGGTACACTGTAGGCAACGAACGAATCTACGAACTACGCACACCTTGCTTTAATAAATTAACATAACAAAAATAAATTTCAAAGAATACCATGTACGTTCTGTTTCAACTTTAAAAAACATCTACAAATTGCACAATCTACACTAAAAACAATAAAAAAAACTAATAAAAAAACAAAAAAAAAACAAAAATAAAAAAATTCAATTCAATCAAAAAAACAAAAATGAAAATAAAATACAAAAAAATCTAAAACATTCTACAAAATAAAAATAATAAAATAAAATGCACTTACCATAATGAGAGCTGCTTTAAAAGCAGAAATATCTTTCCTCCCTATCTTCTAAGATACAGAGCATACAAAGTCCAAATATAATAAATAATAAAATAATAATAAAATTAAATAATAAAATTTTGCCAGTCACCACAACGTCTGTGAAGAAAAACTTCCACGATTTGCTATATCACATGCCTTCCTACGATTCAAAATTTCGAAAGTAACAATAAAACTTCCTCCAACGTTAACTTGCTACACGAAAACGAAGATCCAAACCTTAAACTCCGCTGACACCCACATACTTTATTAGCAACAATTTTACTGCAACCCACACAAGTCTATCAGAAACACCATTTTTCGTCCGAGTTCTCATATCAGCTCCGCATTTCGGACACGTCAAACTCCGTTTTAAAAGTCCCGACTCCCACAGAAATTCCAAAAATACACTACGATCCCCACAAATACAATCGCGCCAAAAATAATATCGCCACATTTGGTGAAATTACGGCGTTTATCAGAGTTGTACCGAATTTATTATTTAAAAATTTCTTTCAACTCTTTTCAGTTTTAGTTTTCTGTTGCAAGTTAGAAATCAGGTATCACCATAAACATTTTGTTAACATTTTCTTCAGAAGTAGTGAAATTCAACATTAAATTCTTTAGGCAAAAGATGAAAGTTTCTCTTGTACCAACACTGTTGCTGATGCCATTCAGTTTTGTGCTGAGTTTTCAAATTTAGATGCATTTAAATACTCTGCAGTAACAGTTAAATTCATAAGAAAAATTAATAATTTATTTTCACAAAATTTAAAGCAAAAAGGTTTAAAAAAAGCCATGAGTATATAGAATTGCATTTTGATTCTTTAAACTCTCAACTACTTGCAAAAGTATTTAAGTAACTTAAAGTTAGTGTGAATGGAATGCAAAATTGTGAATCTAATCAAAACACTGGTTTTCTAGGCTTTTCATATTTTTGTGTGTATCGAGAGTTATCAAATATTAATACAAAAGCTGGTAAGTTCAAATCAACCATTATTTTTATACCTACTATCATATTAATTAAACAAAGATCACACTAAAATGTTTTTTACAAATGACTCCTATGCAGGGAGGATGTAACAATAATTCTACAGTATATCAGTTTAAAACTGCATATTAGAAACTACTCGTACGAACTCAATAGTGATTTTGAGAATGGTAATTGCATCTCACAAGAATGTACAAACATCCTTAATGCAACTTGCACTACTATGCCCTATTCATGGCATTTTTAACGACAGTGTTAAGTGAGATTTAATGAATCATGTGATACTCTCATGTCACAAATCATAAAATCTAAAGTTTTGATATTCACATGAAAGCACTCATTAAATTCGATTAAGTTGATTATACAGCTTCTAAATTAAGGACAGATCTGGGCTTCACATTAAATAAACAGATCGGAATATTCCAGCAGTAACAATGGGTGAAGGATTTGTGTCAGTAGAGAATTTTCCGTGATTGAAGCAATGCGTTTGATTTGCCCAAACGAAATTTTATTAAAAAGTTTTGTTTGAGCAAAGAACTAGCATATCAGCTAATTCAGGATCTGATATCTGCTTTCCCTTGGAAATGCAACAGAATTACTTCCTGAAGATCCTGAAACTCGAGTGAGTGAATTTCTTCCTTTCTTATATAATAGACTTTTTTTAATTAGTGTTATTAAATTCACAGATGAATGGACAGTGAAAATTTCAAATATTTTATATGTTTTGTAATTAAAATATGTTTTAGATACGTTTAGATATATTCATCAATTATGATTGATTAAATAGTACCAATTATTCTTTTAATGGAGGAAAGAAGTTGATAATTATTAGTGAAATATTTAAAGCTAATATAGATCAGATAAAAAAATTTCATTGAAATTATTCATTATGCTACTAATATGCTAACTGTTATTGTTTGTTATCGATACTTTGAATAATCTCTCTTTTTTTTTTTTTTTTAATTTTAGATTCTTTTCATTGAAATTAATATCTTTTATTTAAGTTTTAATATTTAGAGCATATGAGTATTAGAATACCTTATCATTTCTCCTATCTGAGTTTTATGCAAACGTTAATCTCAGCATTCATCATTTAATGACTTTTAGAAGCCTGCTGATGTTCTAAGTTTGTGTTTGGCGATAACTTGTGGCACATATAATTTTTCAGCTTGTGCACCATAAAATGTACCACCTAATCATCTCAGTAATATAAGGTGCATCTAAAAAGTTCGGTGAATGGATGGATATCTAATAAACCATGCAATTTAAAAATACTTCACTGGGGTGCCTGTGCAGGTAGAGATCAATAGAGAGACAGCATGTAGCAATAAGTGCAAGAAACCAAGGCAAAATTGTCAGCTGTGTGGCAGTCAAACGGCATATGTTTGAAAACAGAATGGAGCAATGAATAAACAGCAAGTTTTGCTACAAATTAGGTAAACTCGCCACAGAAATGCATGCAATTTTAGTCAAGGTATAAGAAACAGACGCAGTGAGCAAAAAATGCATGTACGACTAGTTTAAATGTTTTTGGAAGGGAAGCCATGGATGACAAACCACATTCAGTTCGACCCTCAACAAGTGCGACAACTGACAACATCGAGTGAGTATGACAGATGTTCTTAAACAATTGCTGACTGTTCTTATGATGGATATTGGGAATCAGCAAGGTAAACGTTAGGACCGTCATTCATCAAGATATGGGTAATTGCAAGATATATTTCCATTTTATGTTACACTCATTGTCTGACGAGCAGAAGGAAACACGAATGCACACTGCTCAAGATTTTATTGACACGTGTGACCAAGATTCAACCTTTCTTCAAATCACTGTCACAGGAGATAAGAGCTGGTGCTACTAGATCCAGAAGATCCAGAATCGAAAAGACAAACAATGGGATGGTGCTCACCAGCTTCCTTGTGCATCAAACAGAGTCACCTACAGAAGTCCAGAATCAAGACACTCCTGATTGCATCTATGCTTCAGTTGATCCCAAAAGAGGCCTTTGTCGACTTATCCCAGCAGCTTTATCAGCGATGTCATAAGTGTATTTTGGACAACGGATGCTATTTTGAGGGTGATTAAAAGGTGTTTTATTTGTTTTATTCTTCCATTGACCCATTTTTTTAGAAGCACCTTGTATATATATATATATATGTTGTGCGTTATGCATGGAACTTGATTGTTTACTTCTGTATAGTGTTAATATTTCTAGACCAAGTGCTCTTTTAACAAAATAGAAGCTTAATAATTGCAGTTGTTTTATTAACTGCTGATAACATTGAATACAGGAGCATACGTAATAAAATTACTAATACTTATGTTTAGTTTCTAGTTGCCTTGCGATTTTTCGCAACAGGCTGCTATCAAGAGCCTGTTGAAGTGACTTCACATTAAGTGCAAGTCAGGCAACTAGCAGTCATTTAAAGCAGAATTTACGCAGAAGTTTAGGATGCCAGCTGCAATAGATGTAGTGTATGGAACAAATGTGGCCATCATTGCTCCAAGTTTGCTTGACAGTAAGCATCTGCCAGAAGCATATATTAACAGGAAGAATTATTCTTCCATAAATGTACAGCTTGTAAATATCTACATAATTCTATTCTATTTTTATTTTACAATTTCTGTCTAGGGGTCCACCATGACATGGTGGAGAGGTGTAAATGCATCAGGTGCTTTCTACTCATGTGAATAATAGGCCTGTACTCCTGGTCTTTCTCCAGCATAAGTACTTTATAGGTGATTGATTATGCAATTAGCTGCTTTTACAGTGAATAGAACCATTGTTAGTAAGTGATCTGTTTGAGCCTGGTAGGGACTTGTAATGGCAACGTCAAGTTTGTCCTATACTGTATATATTGCTGCATATAAATTAGATATAAACTCTCATATATGCAACTGTAACTGGAACATAATTATAACCGTAAGTGTAGTATAGAACAATAGTAGTGTAGAATAAACAATGTTTAGCTGATCTTGTATTCATTATTTCCATTTACTGTTGCTTAACAAGTAAATTACAAGTTCGAAAATCTGAGCCGACACTTTTAAAAAAAATCAACATTTATTTTTCATGCCATTTCTTATTCTACAAAATCTTAAATGCAACTATTTATCAAACAGAAAAGCAGACATAGACATAATGCATCTGCGCACGTGATCCTTGTGACTGACGAATTCTTTAGGGTTGCCACAGAAAGCAGTGTTTCACCACAATTCTCCCACCTTTTGAGTGGATCGCTACACCCTCAAAACATAAAACTTACATCAATATAAATGAGGGTTATATAACAAAGAAAATTACTTAATACTTAAATCATATTACTTGAAAACAAAATTAATACTGAGGAATAATACAACAATAATAGCACAACAAAATAAATCATAATAACTCAAAGACATGAATTACATTATTCATGATTTTACAACTCTACCACTACTGGTGGTGAAAGGAACTTGATCATTTTGAGTATTATCTATTATATTATCCAGTTCCAATCTAAACAATCTCTGTATTGGTCTCAAGAACCCCGAATTATTACTTTTTACAAGAGCAACTCTTTATGTTGCCATCTCGACCAGGGATCACCTGAATAACGTGTGCTAAATTCCAATATGCACGGTTTTTATTTTGATCCTCCAGCAAGACAATTTGTCCTACAAAGAGAGGTTTATTTTGTAATTTCTGATAAACTGCTGTCTTAACTGCCCTGGGTATTCAGAGTGAAATCTCACTTAACAATTCTCTCATTCTCTGGAGATACTTCGCTCTTCTGCTCAATTTTTCTTTGTCCACATTGTCAATATCAGGTACACCCGACTGTGGAGTTTCATGCAGAAATTTTTCCGGAGTTAAAGGCAAGGGATCTTCAATATCGTCAGACACGTACGTAAGTGGTCTTGAGTTGACAATTCTTTCACAATCGCACAAGACGGTGAGTAACTCTTCATAACCAAGAGAAGCACGACCTAACATTTTTCTTAATATTTGTTTTACAATTTGTATTAAACGCTTCCACCATCCACCCCACCAAGCAGCGGATGGAGGATTAAATTTCCATTGTATTCTCTTTTCAGCAGCCTTAGAGCAGAGGCAGTCCCAGTCAATGTTTTGCAGAACTCTCTCTGCACCCACAAAATTTGTCCCATTATCGGAATATGTGGTGGTAGGGTGTCCACGACGTGCGATAAAATGCCTTAAAGCCTGAAAAAATGATTCAGTTGTTAATGAGGTAACCAGTTCCACATCGATAGCACAATAAACCGCACAGGTGAAGAGTACAATATATGATTTTTGTCCATCCTTTAAGTGCGAGGGTCCTGCAAGATCCATTTGGTAAAACACCTGGGACTGTCTCACCTCTTTTAGCCTTAAATCTCTTACATGTTACACATTTTCTTATACAGTTCCTTATAGTTTTACCTAATTTTAAAATCCAATATCTTTCTCTTAAATGTGACATCAACAATGTAGTACCTGCATGCAGCAAATCTTTGTGGGCATTTAATATCAATAATTTGACTACTGGATGTTCAGAAGGTAATATGATGGGGAACTTAAAGCTGTTAGAGTCGTCACGATAAGCAACATTAGACTTAGCTCTTATTAGACCCTGACTATCGACAAATGGTCTGAGTCGTCTTAGCTTATCATCTGTTTCACCATTAAACGACTCTTTTTGTATTAATAACATTAAAGCTATTTCTCCCCTTTCTATTTCAGATACAGTCAAATCCTTAGAATGGTTGTTATTATTATTCTTACGTATCTATACTATTAAAATCTGTGTGCCTCTGTCTGTTTGTGTGTTTGTAACATCATCTCCTCGGGAACGGCTGGGTGTAGAGCTTAGCGGAAGGTACCGTTGGATTCAGAATGCCCGTGGCTCGCCATATTGACCATCGGCATCTTCGTGCGACTTTAATTAGCCGAGATATTAATTAAAAACTGCTTTTTTCCCTACGTTTCCCTACGTTTTGCACTTTCTTTCACGGGTTTCCCCTATTTTAGGGATTTGGCCGAGTGCCAAATTCTGTTTTCTCGAATATCTGCGGAACGGCTCCGAGTTGCGAATTCGAAACGCATATCCCCGTATTCGAAAAAAATCAACGAATCCATCGATACCGGTCCCATCTTCGTACGACAATAATCGGCGGAGTTATTAATTAAAAACTGCGAAAACGTTATTTCATTTTTCGGAGTGGCAACCGTCTCGGAATTAGCTGAGATAAAATTGCTTTTTCGAAAGCGCCGGGGGGGATGACAATTGCTTCCGCTCGAGATTTGTGCTGGCGAAAGGTCACGTGTCAATTTCTTTTTTCTTAAATATCTATGGAACGGCGCTGAGTTGGAATTCGAGGCAGGTGTCTGCGGATTCCAAAAAATTCTACGAATCCAATGATACCATTCTCATCTTCGTAGGACGTTAATCAGCTGAGATATTAATTAAAAACTGTGAAAACGCTAATTTTCGGGCTCATTTTTCCGATTGCAACAGTTTCTTGAATCGCCGCAGATACAAATCAAGGTTATATTCTAAAGTTGAATAAAGCACGCGATTGCATGTTACCTAACTGTATTTTAAAAATATTTCGTTAATGTAGGCATTTTAAATAAACAGCTGCTTTTCACAATTTTTTTTTAATTTCAGGTTAGGATGATTGTCACGTTAATTCTTTTATTGATATTGAATAAAAGTTATTATATTACATTAAATTTAAATGATGACGTTCTTGAAGTTGTACAACTTTAATCAGCTGGGATATTAATTAAAAAATCTGAAAAAGCTATTTTTTAAAAATATGTTGTTATTTTTTTAATAATAAATTTGATTTTTTGGAATAATATATTTTTTTATGTTATTAGATACGTGCACTTAATTTAGATATTATCTTTTAATGCAAATGATATTTTAAATAAGTTCGCACCAATAAAAATTAAATTCACACTTTTTTTTTTTTTTTTTTTTAGATTAAAGATTTTTCTTTGCTCCTTTGAGATGGTATACGGTAACTTTCGAATCCCGGTGAGCAGGCAGGCTACACTCATGTTTTTGTGATTTTACGCATATCTGTTGTGTATGCAGTGTCTTCTGGATGCATAAATGAATAAAGCTGAACTCTGGTAGTTCGGTCCTAATTTCGAATCCCGGCGAACGGGCTGGGTCCATGGGTGTTTGCGTGATTTTACGCATGTGCCTCGTGTACGCAGCATCTTCTGGATGCATAAGTGAATAAAGCGGCCGAAAATTCGCTCAAAACCTCTGATTACTGGTAGTTCGGTCCAACTTTCGAATCCAAGCGACCGTGTTGGCTCAATGTGTGTTTTCGGGATTTTTCGCATGTGTAACGTGTATGCGGTATCTTCTGCATGCATACTTGAATAAAGCGGGAGCAGCCCGCGCAAAACTACAGAACACTGGTAGTTCGGTCCAACTTTCGAATTCCGGGGTACTGTACATAAAATTTGGTCGCATACGTGAATACAGCGCGCGGATACCGGGTAAAACCGCTGAACACTGGTAGTTCGGTCAAACATTCGAATCTCTGCGAGCGGGCTGGCTGCATGGGTGTTTTCCTGATTTTCCGCATGTGTATAGTGTATAAAGTGATTTCTGGATGCATATGTGATAAAAGTGGGCGCAGCCTGCTCAAAACCTCTTAACGCTGGTAGTTCGATCCAACTTTCGGTGTCGGCGAACGAGCTGGCTCCCCGGGTGTTTTCTTGCTTTAACTCATGTGTATCGTTTATGCAGTATCCTCTCCATGCTTATGTGTATAAAGCGGGCGCAGCCCGCTCCACAAAATCGCTGAACACTGGTATTTCGGTCCTACTTTCGAATTCCGGGGTACTGTATATAAAATTTGGATGCATACGTGAATACAGCGCGCGGATACCGGGTAAAACCGCTGAACACTGGTAGTTCGCTCAAACTTTCGAATCTCGGCGAGCGGGCTGGCTGCATGGGTGTTTTCGTGATTGTTCGCATGTGTATCGTTTATAAAGTATCTCATGGATGCATACGTGAATAAAGCGGGCACAGAATACTGGTAATGCGGTTCTGGTAATGCGGTAATTTCGAATCCCGACGAACTGGCTGGCTCCATGGGTGTTTTCGTGATTTTACGCATGTGTATAGTGTATGGAGTATCTTCTGGGTGTATATGTGAATAAAGCGGGCAGAGCCCGCGCAAAGCCACATAACACTGGTAATTCGGTCCAACTTTCGAATACCGGCGAACAGGCAGGCTCCATGTTTGTTTTCGTGATTTTACGCATGTGTATCGTTTATGCACCATCTTCAGCATGCATACGTGAATAAAGCGGGCACAGCACGCGCAAAATCGCTGAAAAATTGTATTTCGGTCCAACTTTCGAATCGGCAGCGGGCTGGCTGGAGGGGTGTGTTTTCGTGATTTTACGCATGTGTACGGTGTACGCAGTATCTTTTGCATGCACACGTGAACACTGTTTTGGGCGGGCTCCCGCCAAAAGCGCTGAACACTGGTATTTCGGTCCAAATTTCGAATACCCGCGAAAGGGCTGGAAGCATGGGTGTTTTCGTGATTTTCCGCATATGTATAGTGTATGCGGTAACTTCTGGATGCATAGGTGAAAAAAGCGGGGGAAGCCCGCGGAATGCCGCTAAAAAATGGTAGTTCGGTTCAACTTTTCAATACCGGCCAAATTTAACATAGGATATCTTTTAAAAACGAACAATGATAAGCGGGCTTCAGCCCGCTCAGCTGGCGGGCTTGCCCGCTAGTCTATACTATTAAAATCTGTGTGCCTCTGTCTGTTTGTGTGTTTGTAACATCATCTCCTCGGGAACGGCTGGGTGTAGAGCTTAGCGGAAGGTACCGTTGGATTCAGAATGCCCGTGGCTCGCCGGATTGACCATCGGCATCTTCGTGCGACTTTAATTAGCCGATATATTAATTAAAATTAATTAAAAACTGATTTTCTCCCTACATTTCCCTACGTTTTGCACTTTCTTTCACGGGTTTCCCCTATTTTAGGGATTTGGCCGAGTGCCAAATTCGTTTTTCTCGAATATCTGCGGAACGGCTCCGAGTTGCGATTCGAAACGCATATCCCCGTATTCGAAAAAAATCAACGAATCCATCGATACCGGTCCCATCTTCGTACGACAATAATCGGCGGAGTTATTAATTAAAAACTGCGAAAACGTTATTTCATTTTTCGGAGTGGCAACCGTCTCGGAATTAGCTGAGATAAAATTGCTTTTTCGAAAGCGCCGGGGGGATGACAATTGCTTCCGCTCGAGATTTGTGCTGGCGAAAGGTCACGTGTCAATTTCTTTTTTCTTAAATATCTATGGAACGGCGCTGAGTTGGAATTCGAGGCAGGTGTCTGCGGATTCCAAAAAATTCTACGAATCCAATGATCCATTCTCATCTTCGTAGGACGTTAATCAGCTGAGATATTAATTAAAAACTGTGAAAACGCTAATTTTCGGGCTCATTTTTTTTCCGATTGCAACAGTTTCTTGAATCGCCGCAGTCATATCAAGGTTTTTTTCTTGAAGGTTTTTTTAAAACTTTGTTAATGTATTTAATCTGCGTTTTTTTTTTTTTGTTTTTTCTTTTTTTTTTTTTTTGTTTTTTTTTTTAATTGTATTTGAATAATTATTTTTATTTTAATGGCATTTAAATAAACAGCTTTTCAAATTTTTTTTTTTCGTGATATTTTTGATATTTAAAGTTAATTCTTAAATTTAATGATGACGTTCTTGAACTTTAAATCAGTGGACATTTTCTGAAAAGCTTTTTTACGGTTTTTTTATAATAAAGATTTTTGGAATTTATCCTTTTGATGGTATAAATGACGTGAAAATTTAGAATCCCGTGCATAATGCAAAAAAAGCTAAACACAATTAAATTTTTTGTGTTACGAATCCCGGTGAAAGCAGACACTCTTTTTGTGGCTGCCAGTGTCAAATCCTAATGAAAAGAACTCTGGTAGTTCCCGAACGGCTGGGTCCATGGGTGTTTGCGTGTGATTTTACGCATGTGCCTCGTGTACGCAGCATCTTCTGGATGCATAAGTGAATAAAGCGGGCCGAAATTCGCTCAAAACCTCTGATTACTGGTAGTTCGGTCCAACTTTCGAATCCAAGCGACCGTGTTGGCTCAATGTGTGTTTTCGGGATTTTTCGCATGTGTAACGTGTATGCGGTATCTTCTGCATGCATACTTGAATAAAGCGGGAGCAGCCCGCGCAAAACTACAGAACACTGGTAGTTCGGTCCAACTTTCGAATTCCGGGGTACTGTACATAAAATTTGGTCGCATACGTGAATACAGCGCGCG